GTACAATATAAAGCTGGGAAATTTTACGCTCAAATAAATTTTAGCTTTCCTGTACGTGCAAAAATAACAGAAAAAATTATAAATTTTTACGAGAAAAAACATGACGTCATCACTATCCTATGGCTTGATTACGATGTTGTTTACTTCTTCACACTATCATGCAATTTCACTCGCTATGACTCGCTCGGCTAATCGCATTTCGATGCGCGTTTTTTAGTCATCGCATGATTAGCACGAGAATAGCTCAGAATAAGCGCAGAAGCTGTCCAAAGCTATGAAAGTCGGGGCCAAAGTTTCTTGGCATATTGCCAAATGGGCTGTGTAATCAATAATTGATTTTTAGATAGGCGTAGTCGAATGCCGGGACCTTTGCGAATTGGTCGTATCACGAGATGGACAATGTTTGTTGGATCCATATGTGAAACTACAACTTTTGCCAGGTAAGCCACAAGAGACTCCCAATCAATAAATCGATTCCTCACCAATCAATAACTTACAGAACGCGAGCATCGCGTCAAGACTCGAATCGTACGTTCGACGACCTCACCAAAATACGATGAACAATTTACTATGTATGGAGTGACCAGTGAACAAATCACTATGAGCACATTACACTTCCAGGTAAGCGCGCTTCATAAACTGAAGCCACGAAAAAAATCAATAATCGATTTCTTTAGGTTGTTGCATTCGATCGATACAGTCGAGATACTGTTGTGGGAGAATGTGTGTATAGACTTGCTGATGCTGAATTGATGCTTTATCAAGAAATGAGGTGAGTTAATTTTTTAATTTGGAAAATTAGTCACCGTAATCTACAGTAACCAAACGAGGGCATGCAGTCTGTGTCAATCGGAGTGTCCATTCTGAGAGCGGCTGCTTCTTCGCAGGCCTCGCATGCTTACATACTCCTTCATGTATTTCCGTCAATGAATCTGATTTATGGCCCAAGCCAAACGCGAGCGAATGCTGCGCAGCGACTTGTGAGGCGGTTGGGCTTGTGGAAAGGGGGGCCACTATGTTTGAAACAGACTAAATTCCCGCATAACCACTCTCAGTTTGAATTCACCTCTTCGCGGCCTAAATAATTTCTGTTTTTGATTACTGTAACTCCCTAATGCCCGCAATTACAGAGTGGAACTAGCACTGCAAGCACGAGCATCGGATACTGTAGCAGCACGAGGTGAAATACTCCTGTCGCTAACCTACCAACCAGCTTTCAACAATCTTACCGTAGTCGTGTTAAAAGCACGCGGCCTTAGCAGGAATGAGACCGGAAGTGCAGGTGAGTAATCAAATTACATGCATTATGTGTTGATCAAAGTACAGGGAAATGGGGACGTTGTTGGCG